CCACAAAGTGTGGAGGTGGGGATACCTCACTTTTTCTGATTCTGTATTACTTTTACTATTCTTTAACATTCTCAGTATCACAGATCTGCATTTATTACAAAGTCCCTTGGCATTCCTATAAAAAGGAAAGGCCCTGCATAAATTTAAATATGAATGGTAAATCAAAAAGATTAAATGTCTTGCTGCCCAGAATAGACTTTTGGTCTAGAATGCACAGGGTAGAAGTCCAATAAAATAAATAAATATATAAATTTGCTTGCCACCTAGCATTTGTGGTTGCTACTAATCCCTCTTTTCTTTCATGACCTGCAGTTTGTGCTGACAACTCTGAAGAACTGGAAGGATGTTTTTTCTGCATTTAAAGTGGGTGGGCTTTTCCAGAAGGCAGTGAGACATTGTTTTTCCCTTCTGCAAAAGCCCAGCGGGAAAAAGAACAAAAACACCATCTCCATCCCCTGAGTTGTCACGAACTGCAGAGAACTCTGAAAAATTGAGTTTTCACCATTTTCTTGTGCATCTTTTACAGACCATATGCTACTTCTCTTTTCTACTTGATATCCTGGCTAGGCAGGATGAAGTTACCAGATGTGAAAAGCACACTTGCTGGCACTGTCAGATGAATTATGGAAAAAATAATATATATACATTAAAAGGACGACATGAGTATTGATTAAAATACTCTGGGCTGTGTATTTTGGGTATTTTCCACTTAAACAAATATTATTATGCAAGCAGTTGTACTGTAGTTGTGCAACTGATTTCACAATCAGGTGTTCAACCACGATCACCTCGCCAACAGAGAAACAGTTAGTAAAAATCCCCAACAAGATACTACCCTCTAAAATCTGTGATTCTACAGTCTTACAAGAAACCATATTGCTGTACAAATCATTGGCTTGAGATCATAAAACATGAAATTACAAGTTTATGAATTATGATCACATACACATAACGCCCAGTCTCTAATCTTTCATTTTCAACAAAATGTTAGAATGAGTTCTAGCTTTTCAGCTCCTGATGTTCCTGGATGAAATGGATTACAGTGGTGCCCCGCATAACGGGCGCCCCTTTTAACGAAGAATCCGCATAGCAATGGCTTTTTTGCGATTGCAAAAGTGATCGCATTGCAATGTTTCAAATGGTAAAACGACGCTTTGCGATGATTGGTAAGCTGTTTCGCTTACCGATTTTCGCATAGCGATGTTTTTTCTAACAGCTGATCGGCAGTTCCAAAATGGCCGCCGGGTAAAAAATGGCTGCCCGCAGTGTTTTCGCGCCCTTTACTCGCTTACCGGGCAGCAAAAATGGTGGCCGTATGGAGGATTTTCGCATAACGGTGAGTTTTTTGCCCATAGGAATGCATTAAACATGTTTTAATGTATTCCTATGGGCTTTTTTGTTCCGCATAGCGACGAATCCATATAGCGACGATTTTTCCGGAACGGATTATCGTCACTGTGCAGAGCACCACTGTATATCAGGGCTCTCCAAACTATGGACTGCATTGCCATTTTGTCTGGACTGTTCCCTTAAGCCTGTGTGCAGGCAAGCGGGGGGGTGTGCGGGTGTAGGGCGGGGGTGTGCGGGGATGGTGGTGTGTGCGCATGCATGCAGAACACATTCCTGTTCCTTCGGCCCTCAAAAACGTTGGTAGTATACAGTGTGGTCCTCACTGTAAAAAGTTTGGAGACGCGTGATCTAGATCGATTTCAATCTGGCTTCTGGCCTGGTTATGAGGCACAGTCTGCTTTGATTGCCTTGGTGGATGACCTATACTGGGAACTAGACAGGGAAATTGTATCCCCATTGGTTCTGCTGGACTTCTCAGTAGCTTTCAATACCATCAGACATGGTATCCTTCTGGACAGACTTTCTAGGATGAGAAGCATTGTTTTATAGTGGCTCTAATCCTTTCTGGACAGGAGAACTCAAAAGGGCAGTGCTTGACAACCTGCCAGTTAGTCTGTGGTGTCCCTCAGTGTTTTCTTTTGTTTTGTCTCCTACTATATTTTAACACCTACATGAAACCTCTGGGAGAGGTTGTCCAGAGTTCTGGGGTTCGGTGTCATCACTATCCAACTCTATCTCTCCTTTCCATCTAAATCCGAGGAAGCTGTTTCAGTTCTAAATCAGTGTCTGGCATTAGTAATTGGCTAAATGAGGACAAATAAACTCAATCTTAATCCAGACAAAACAGAATTCTTCTGGTCAGCTGAAAGGCAGATCAAGGAACAGGCATTTAACCTTGCTGGGTAGGATTACATTCCCTGTGAAAAAACATGTGTGCAGCTTGGAGGTGCTCCTGGATTTGTCTCTAAGCCTGGATGCTAAGGTTTTGGCAGCGGCCAGGAGTGCTTTTGCATAGTTAAAACTATTGCGCCAGCTGTGCCCATTCCTTAAGAGGTCTGATTTGGCCATGGCGGCAAATGCCTTAGTTATATCTTGGTTGGATTACTGTAATGTGCTCTATGTGTGTCTTACGTTGGAAAGTGTTTGGAAACTCCAGCAGGTCCAAAATGATGCAGCCAGATTTTTAACTGGGATTGGTTACAGCAGCTCCACGGGCTGCCAATCTGTTTCCAGGAATAATTAAAAGTGCTGGTTTTAACTTATAAAGCCGTAAATGGGTTGTGTCCAAGCTATCTAAAATAGAGTGGTGCCTCGCTTAGCGATCGCTCCGTTGAGCAATGAAATCGCTTAGTGATGGACTTTTTGCCATCGCAAAAGCAATCGCTTAGCGATGGTCCCTATGGAGAAAATTTGCTTTGCGATGATCGTGGGGAAGCAATCATCGCAAAGCCCCCATTTTCGGCCAGCTGATCGGCGGTTTCAAAATGGCCGCTGGAAAAACAAAATGGCCGCCCCCTGTTTTGAATCGCTTAAGAGACAGCGAAAATAGCGGCGCTATGGAGGATTTTTGCTGAAAGGTAAGTTTTTAAGCCCATAGGAATGCATTAAATGCATTTTAATGTGTTTCTATGGGCTTTTTGAAATCGCTTAGCGACATTTTTTCCGGAATGGATTAATGTCGCTCACCGAGGCACCATTGTACTTTATCTCTCTTTATGAGCCTACTCAGGCATTAAGATCATCAAGTGAGGCTTTTCTCTCGGTCCCATCACCCTCAAATGTGTGTTTGGCGAGGCCAAGGGAAAGGACCTTCTCTGTTGCTGCTCCTTGACTCTGGAACTCTCTGCCATAGGAGGTCAGACTGGCCTCATCATTGCTGTCCTTCTGCAAGTAGACAAAGCTTTTTAAAATATTGTAATAATTTATTATTTGGTTTTTAATTTTGTTTCTTTCAATACTGTAAGCTGTCTTGGATCCTTTAGGAGAAAGGTGGCATATAAATATTTTAATTAAATAAAAAATAAAATGATTGCATAGCACTCAAAATATTCTTTCACTAACCAACAGTGAGAAATAATGTCAAGAAAGCATACAACATAGAGTGAACAAGGAACAGCACATACAACTTGTAGAGAGGTTGTCACTGGCCAAAATCCTATTGTAATTTTACTCTAGGATAAGTTACACTGTGCAGGTTGTGGTAGCAAACTAGTCATGTGCGTAGCTGTGTGGCAATCACATGACCAGGTGTGCAACTATACACTTAACAAGCATTTTGTTAATTAGTTCTGATTTGTCACCATGTCTTAAGTGATATTATCTACTTTGGAGCAAAATCCTATAGGATTCTGGCCACTGTTTTGAAATTTTGCTTCTGAGTCATCCACCTATTTTGGTCTTATTCATTTACACCACACTTGCCCTCTCTCTGAACTGCTGATGGGTCTTTTACAATTCTTGTTTCCCTATTCCATCAACATCGCTACACGCAGTACAGTATTACCGATAAGTGTTCACAAAAAGACTGTAGAGTTACCCATATTGTTTCATAGTTACCACAGGATTACATAACATTAGCGAAAATTGGTTTCCTACAAAATGCTCTTGTTATAGATCAATAAATTATCAATAGGTGTTTGTTAGATTTGAATTGCAGAAAGCAGAAGAGGACAAAAGAAATATGTAAAATTCTGGAGAACACCTGAAGGGTAGTTTTAGGATTAGACTGATTTCCTCCTGACTGATTTAAGAACTTTATAAGATGTTGCCTGGGTGACAAGTGTAAGTAATTAAGGAGAATTCTACCAAGGAAATGCGAGAAAATCTTTCAAAGCAAGCATAAACTCCATAAACAATGTACAGAAATTCTACACCCGAAGATATGCTACAAAACGAAAGGCCACCAAGATATAGATCAACATTACCACTATTACAAAAGCTGTGTTTATACAGCTGCATTCCATTAGAGCTTATAAAGGGAGAGGGCGGGAGCAGAGGCGGATCGCCCGCTTCCAGCAGCGCTTGCATAAGGACTAAAGACCACGCGAGACACACCAGCAAGTTTACACCGGCAACCCACCCACACCCACCTTCCCCGCCAGGAGCAGCTGGAAGGGACCGGGGTGCAGTCCCTGCAGGCGGAAACGCATTCGGCCGGCACGGCTCGCACGCGACGGCACGCACAATACACGGGAGGCACGCGGCGGGGTGGGGGTGGGGGTGAGAAATGCCTTCCCTTTCTTCGCTACCGCCCGGCGGGGGCCCCACGGCATGGGCGGACTGCACTCGACCGCCCGGGCCAAAAGGGTGCCGCCATCCCCAGGGGCCGGCGGGAGGGCAGGTGAGGCAGAGGCC